AGAGAGAGAGAGAGAGAGAGAGAGAGAGAGAGAGAGAGAGAGAGAGAGAGAGAGAGAGAGAGAGAGAGAGAGAGAGAGGGAGGTAGAGAGGTAGCTTGGGCGGCCATAGCCACATGTACTTTGAGATCGGATCCTTCAGACAATTTTGTGATTTGGGACAATATCTTATCACTTTCAGCTGATGTCTATCTAATTGCTTTGATGTTTGAGTGGTGTGGACTCCGTAGGCTTGCATGATTGTGTTTGGGAGTCTGAATGGAGTCAGATCATTACACTGTTCTTTTGGTGAGGTTTCTGAGAATTCCGAGTTTGAGTCGGCTCTGCTGTGATTTGCTATGCTTCCTTAGTGTGTGTGTGTGTGACTTACCACTGACGTGCATGTGCCTCGTGCTTGCCTGAGTCCAAGTCTGTGCCCTTGTGCGCACTCTGTTTTGTGTGCTATGTTTCTGTGCCTCGAGCTGGGGTCGAATGGTAATGGATATAGACACAGGGACATACCCTAAATTGTGGCAACAGAAGAACTTATCGGAAGCTCTAGATGGCCAGGGGTAGTTATAGAATTTGATAGGGACCCCATAGGCCTCTTTCCGCAACTGTGGTAGGCCAGGAAGGTGTTACATGCTGTGCCTGCAACAGGCCATTTCCAGGCCCGTGATGTTTTCAGGCCAAAAGCCTGAAAACAAGGGCCTAGAGGCCCTGTGTCGTTTCAGCCTGAAAGCCTGAAAACAAGGGCCTACAGGCCCAGTGTCGTTTCAGGCTAAATCAGGGCGTTTTTTCAGCCTGAAACTGAGGGCCATTTCCGGGCCCTCATGAATTCGGCCTGCCCCGAAACTCAGGCACCAAACCAGGGGTTTAGCTCAGGCCATTTTTGGCCTATTTTCAAGACAACCTTCGTTTGAGCTTCAACCCCAGGGCCTGGCACGTTTTGGCATTGGCAAGAGCAGCCTCCTGGACGGGCCAGCACTATAAAGGACTGGCCCGCCCTGCAGGCTGCAGGTAGTTCCTAGGTACTTCCCAGGCACTTCACGTGCAGTTCAGGAGGCAGGAGGTAGTCTTCAGGATTCGGCAGCAGCACTCTGGAGGAGCGCTGCATGAGTAGTAGTAGCGTTAGCAGTAGTCTTCAGCGCTGGGCGCTAGTACCGTTAGTTGTAGTCTTCAGCGCTGGGCGCCATAGCAGCTAGAGTAGTACTATAGAGAGAGAGATTGGGCGGAGGCCAGAGGGACTTACCTGCAGCGCCATTGCTCGAGCTTCGTCTTTGAGGTACCTGCAGCACAGCGCCATCTTCACAGGTTAGTACCTGGCACAAGAGACAGAGAGAGAGAGAGAGAGAGAGAGAGAGAGAGAGAGAGTTCTTCTTCTTCCTCTTCCCAGTCCACCATCTCCTTCTCACCCTCTCGCTATCTGACTTCACTGCATCAGGAGAGAGAGAGAGAGAGAGGGAGGGAGG